GAATCAGATGGATGGGCCCGTGGCTGGATCAGTAACGACATAGAACACCACTTCAACTCAGACTCCAGTAAGGTGGAGGGGGGTACTGGTATGGGCTTGGTCTTATTAAAGATGAGCTAGTTGGACCTTTTAGAGTTGAAGATGGACTCAAAATGAACTCCCAAAACTACTGCCAGTTTTTGGAAGACACTTTCTTCAAGCAACAGTACAGTAAAAAGTCTGCATCTTTCAAGAAAACCATGAAATGTATACAGAACAATGTTCCATTGCATGCATCACAGTACTCCACTGCGTGGCTAGCCAGTAAAGGCATTAAAGATGAAAGAATAATGACATGGCCCCCTTCCTCACCTGACCTAAACCCAATTGAGAACTTGTGGGTAGGGTTGGGCTTAATGTTCAAGTCGACCGCAAGTTCGACTCAAAAATCATCCATTAGTGTGTTCGCCGAACACACGAACAGTAAGAGTGTTTGGCGGGATGTTCATCCACTGTGCCCCACAATGCACTGCGCCCTGACAGTGCATTGTGATTGGCCAAAGCTATGCAACCTGACCACTTATCAGGTGCAATGCTTTGGTCAATCACAGAGCATGATGACATCACAAGGGGGGCAGGGGTGATCGATGTTGAATCTACTTCGGGAGACCTTTCTTTTATTTTTAATTAAGAACTAAAGAATGTCTTCTGTCATTTTTTTACACACTTTTTTTTTTCTTTTTGTGTGTGAATGAATAGTTATTCACATGGGGGAGCGGGGATCTGGGTCCCCTTTGTTAAAGGGGGCTTCCAGATTCCAATAAGCCCCTCACCCACAGACCCCCACAACCACTGGTAACAGTTGTGGGGAAGAGGCCCCTTGTCCCCATCAACATGATGACAAGGTGTTTGGGGTGGAGGTGTGGGTGGGGAGGGCCCTGCCCCAAAGCACCCACCTATGTTAAGGGCATATGGCCTGGTATGGTTCAGGAGGGGGAGCACTCGCTCGTCCCCCCCCCCCTTTCCTGACCTGCCAGGCTGCATGCTCGGATAAGGGTCTGGTATGGATTTTGGGGGGACCCCCAAGCCATTTGCAGGGGTTCCCTTCAAAATCCATACCAGACCCAAAGGGTTTAGTACGGATGGAGGGGGGACCCCACACCATTAATTTTTTTATTTTTGGCCAGACAATGCCGGCGAATTCTATTTACATTCGGCTGTCAACAAGGAACCCTGCTGACAGCTGAAAAATTAAGGAATGTTTTCACTACTAAAATACTATATCACTTAATAGTAGAACTCATGCGGTATTTTAGTAGCTGTGCGGTATCTTACTGCATACTCAGATGTGGTAAGATACTGCTTAATGAATTGTCCCCGTTTGAAGTTCGCGATTGAACTTTCATAAGGTTCGAATGTTCGACCCATTGCTACTTGTGGGCCCTTCTTAAAAGGGGAGATTAAGACCTCATGTACACATGAACTTACCTAGTCGTTAAACTCTCCTGGCAGCAGAAAACCGCTAAATGCGCCAAATACGTGTGAAAACGTGGTGCTGCGTTTACTACTTGGACGTCTATTCATTTGATTGGCCTGAGTATTTTCTACTGACATGGTTAAACGCCCAAGAGCTAAACGCTGCTAACTTTTACACTCGTTTTTGCTGCGTTTAGTATTTTTTTGCCAAATCATTCCCCTAAGCTCTGCTGCTTTTAAACGCTGGTAAAATCCTATGTGTACATGCACACATAGGCTTTTATTGAGTTGAGTTCAGGGGCTTTAGCAAAAAAAAAAAAAACCGCCAAAAGCTCCTACACTCACGTTTAGGAGCAGTAGTGTACATGAGGCCTTATGATGAAGGAAAACAGTACACCTCTCATAAGAGTGATATTGATACATACAAACACTATACTAGTAATAGTGGTGAGCAGTGACCTATAGCATGAGTGCGATAGTGTGCATGCAAACTAATGTTAGCTGACCCTGGCTGGGAGGGGAGCTTACAGAACCTGATGTTATCAGTGGCAGTAATACAGTTATCAGTGAAAAATTCTACATGCTGACACTGTATCTGTACTAATGGCACTGGCTGGGTGACAGGGTGATCAAAGGGTTAACAGGGGCGCTCAAATGTGCTAATCTAATGTTCGGGTGTGTAAAATGTAGTGCTTTTACTCAGTGTGATTTTCTCTTCTCTCCTTGGACCTGCATAGGGGGCAGCGGGGGGGCGCACGCATGTGCGCACACACACAGCCAGAAATAGAAGGTGATGCAAGGGTATGTCACTTTGCCCAAAACCGACGATCGTCCGCACATTTGCAAGCCGTAAAAAAAAAGTTTTCAATATTTTATTTTAACTTTTTTTTTTTTTAAATGCTTTCATCAGAGTAGCACAATGTTACCATAGTAACATTGTACTACTCCGGGGGGGGGGGGGGGGGGGGGAGTGATCAGGGATTTTGTTTTTACATTTTGCATTGCAGGAGCATTAAAGATTATTGGTATAAATTGGCCTATGTACCATGTGGGAACTGTGGGCCAATCACAGCTCTCCAGGACCAGAAGCAAAGCGGTTATGAATCAGATTGATTTAGAAACAGCTTTGCTAGCATTGTGATCATGTGTTAGTACAGGCAGAGTGATGTACCGGTACATCACGAAGCCTATAGCAGCCACCTGTCTGAAGAAAAAGTACTGTGGGCAGTCGGCAAGTGATTAAACTGATTTTAGGGGAGGAGAGACACTGCACACCACTAGCTCTACAGTTGGAGAGCAATGTGAAAAACCTCAGCATTGAACTAAGCCACACTCTGATGCATTTCGCCCTGCCCACCAGGGCTTCCTCATAGAGATCTATGACCTCATCTCCATGACTAAGCCCCCCAGTGGGAGGGGCAAAAAGCATCAGTGGCATGGCTGAGGATGGGTTCTGAGGCCATTCACATTCCTCTCCACCTCTTGAGCTAGTGGTGTGCAGTGTCTCACTGCAGTGAGACACGGGATTCTTTACCAGCAGAGCACCTTGAGTGGCACTATAAGCAGTTACACAATTTGTCTATATATTTGGCCATATTGTTTATATCCTGGATAAAAATCTGTGTGTATTTTCATATCTTTCACAGTTCCTTGAGAACCATGAGATTGTGGCACTGTTATGCAAATGCCAGTTCCAGTACTTTAAGTTGAGCACCGGGAGTCTTCATCCTGCATCGTACTATGCTCACTACAAAGGACAGCATCAATGAGATGTGCGTTTTGGAAGCAGGATGGCTTAAGCTCGGCTAGCCATTTGCACTCTGCAAAGTATGTGCCAATATATGTGGGTACCTCCATGTACACTTTACTCATAGAAAAAAAAACAAAAACACGGCGCACTCTCCTCGCGCATTAACGCAAAAACCAAAAATGTATTACAAAGATGCAAAAACATACTCGCAAGTCATAAAAGGTCATAAAAACAGCAAGAAGTCAAAAGGTGCATAACATGGACAGCATGTGTCCTCGGATAAAGTGCTAACGCGTTTCGGGAGTCGAACTCCCTTCCTCAGAGTAATAGATGAGGGAAAGTGACTCCCGAAACGCGTTAGCTCTTTGTCCGAGGACACATCCTGTCCATGATTGGAACCTTTGACTTCTTGTCTCTGTTTTTATGACCTTTATGACTTGTGAGTATGTTTTTGCATCTTAATACATTTTTGGTTTTTTGCGTTAATGCACGAGGAGAGTGCGCCCTGTTTTGTTTTTTTTCTGCTAGTATCAAGATTCCCCAATCTATCAATGGCGGCACCTCAGCAAATGCACTATTCCATTTTGAGTGCAGTAAGAGAGATTTGAGCACCAGTTTCTGGTTACTGTTGGAGTTTACACTTTACTCATAAATGCAATTCAGGGGGTTTAGTCTGCCAAAAGAAAAAGCTTTAAAAGGATAAGTTCAGCTTTTAGTAAAGAATAATAGATTTTAGTGCAGGTAAAAAAAAAAAAAAATGTGCATTTATTATTTTTAAAAAATTAAATAGTGAAGCGCTTAAACCATAAAAACTATTTTCAAAACGTGCTACATATACTAATATTGAAAATATAAAAAACAAACAATCAATGAATTATTTCCATATAATGTGCAGTGACACCTCCTCCCAGCAGGGGGAGTAAAAAATCGTGCTATTAAATTAACACAAAGCCCTTTTGTGAAATAACACACACTGCGATAATCCTATAAAGTGCATATAAATTCCTTTAGGGACCTAAAAGTGCATAAATATCAGAGTGATGAATAAATATACTAAAAATAAGTGAACACCAAACTTTATTAAGCAGAGTAATTATCTTGTTAAGTGTGGTGTTCACTTATTTTTAGTATATTTATTCATCACTCTGATATTTATGCACTTTAGGTCCCTAAAGGAATTTATATGCACTTTATAGGATTATCACAGGGTGTGTTATCACTATTTAATTTTTTATTTGATTCAACTTGGTGGTTAAGAGTAGAGTGACAGCAGCTAAACAAATAGGTTTGGTCTCCATTGAGCACAGAAGGATTTCCCTTTCATTTATTATTTTTGTCTGCTGGAGCCTGTAAAGCATTGCACCAGTGATCAGCAGATCCCTGGTGCCATGCAGGTCTCCTGCAGATCTGACAGTATATCTGTTTGCTTGTACAGGATGGGGGTGGGGGGTGCCTGCGGAAGATCCCCCACTAGCTATCAAAGTGGAAAGCAGGGAGTGGAGTGGGGGCCAGTCTGATCGTAACATGTTACACCCTGAATATGGGTGTATCATGTTATGAAAAGTGAACTTATCCTTTAAAATTTACCAGTTTCCTAATAGAAAACAGGATATGGCCAATTTACTCAGAATCATAAAGACATTCACTCATTTTGGTAATATGCCTACATTTAATAGTTTTCTAGTAAAAAGCATTTTAAAGTATAACATGACAGATAATGAAAAAAATGTTACAATATATTATCCTTTGGCCTTAGGATTTTTGAAGGAGCAAGCAACACCTTCTGAATGCATCTTCACCGCTTTTCCAGTTTTTTGAACTTTGCTTCTGCAGGAAAAAAGAAAGATACAAAGAATATCATGTAATGAATGCTCTGGGGTAGATTTACAAAGGGGCACACACCATACCCATGCTCCCGTTGGCAACTGCAATACATGAACAATCACAATTTTGCATTTACAAGAAATTGTGCTGTAAAATAAAAAATTTTCAGCACAAAAAGGATACTGCACATATTTTCATGGCAATTTCAGCTGGAGTCTTTATCTAAAGTCTAAATTTCCTTGTGTGATTTTTAGCAGTTACCAGATGACCCTGACACATTTTCCTGAAATCACTATTATGTGCCTGGTAGATACTCTTACTGTCTATATGGGTCTAATCAGTTACATACTAAACAAACATGTGAAAGACTCACTACACGCTAGATATTAAAAATGTGCTATGCACTTTATAATGCTTATCAGATTAGTCTCTGCTAGTTTACCATTCTCAATTTTTTTTTTTTGCAGGGTTCGTGAAACATTATGAATGTCGGGGCTTCTACATTAAAAAGTGTCTCTAAAGGCTGAAGGCTTTTTACCTTCATGCATTCTATGCATGAAGGTAAAAAACCTTCAGTGTGCAGCTCGCCCCGCAGAACCCTTCCTTTACTTACTTGAGCCCGATCCCGATCCAGTGATGTGCATGAGAGCAGAGGCTCTCCCAGGTCTCTCTCTCCTCATTGGCTGAGCCATTGACCTTCAGTTGCTGTCAATCCCAACCAGCGAGGAGGGAGCAGGGGGGCGGGACTGAGACACGCTCTCTGCGTTCCATAGATACACAAAAGGCGGCTCGGGAGCGAGCATGCACAAGTGTCCCCAGAGCAAACAGCTTGTTTTGGGGGCACTGGCAAGGAAGAGGGGCCAGAAGCACCGGCAGGGGACCCAAGATAGGAAGACGGGGCGGTTATTTTAAATAAAAAAGTTCATGTCTTTAGGACCACTTTAATGTACGTAAATCCCAATACATTTTTCATATCTGCTGCCTCTTGGTCTGCATAGGCATGTTGCAGTCTTATAACTGGACAACGTTATCAAACCTATTACATTCATCTCTGTGGACTACAGATCCCATTCCACTTTAGGGCTCATTCACACTTGTCAATACTCTGTATTTATACAGCATTTATTCAGCATAGTTAAAGCCTCAAAACCACCCTTCAACACCTGCCATGAATATTAAAATGAAACCACATAGTGCTGTTCACGCAGAAGCGGTAGTGTTGCTGTGTCATGTTAAAAAATCAAGCATCATGTTGTTTTCAAGAGACACCAATGCTTGTCAGCTGCCTCCATTGAATTCAATAGTAATGCTCTGTAACCACACCTTAACAGCGGCTATAGAATTTAATGGCATATTTGTGAAGCATTTATAAAAGTGTTAACTGGGCACTAGGGGAGAGGCAGTGCAGGTTCCTGTATCCCAGGATGCACTCGAACAAAATAGAGAACTAGGACAGAGCAACTCCAGCCACTTCTTGTTCGTACAGAGCAGCTGTGTGACAACACCATTTGCTTCTGTGTGTGGGCAGAAGTATCAAGCCAGCCAGCAAATATTGACAGTGCCAGGCAAGAGCAAAGGCAGTGAACATTATTTCCAGTGGGTAAGCTTTTTTTTTTTCAGTAACGTTGAGCTGGACCAAGCCAAGTGTCAAAGAGATCAAAGTATATGAATCCATTGAGCGGAGAATTCACAAAAATGCCTGCTATCACACTGCAACCTAACTACATCGTAAAGTAGATCTTTTCTACTACATTACTTCCCCTTTAAGTACTTCCCACCAGAAAAGCAACACTTTCAAGGGCATTTATCAAGCATTCTTGAACTTTTTAAGGTTTCATAAAAACAATGAAAACACATCACAAATGCTATTGGAGCATTACTGAGCATTGCTTTGTTCTTCAAAATCAGCACGTGTCAAAAAGCCCTAATTGAGATAATTAGATGGGGAGGTTTTCTGTAGTTGTAAGATACCTCCTGCCCTAGCTGCTCTTCCAGGCATATGGTACAATGAGTGAGCATTGTCACCCTTGGACAGGAAGCGTATTGTTATCTTGATCACCTGGTGAAAATAAAGGTTTAAAAAAAAAAAAAGCCACCACATCTAGGGAGCAGTAAATTGAAATATATTACATTTGTTCTTGGTTTTAGATACACCTCACTTTATTGCTCTAGCCTAATCCAAAAAATAACACTAATTGCCTCGGCCTGATCTAACTTTGCCAAAGGATCTGAGACAGACAGACAGACACACACACACGATCCCCTGCTGATTTTGAATCTTTTCCCACTCACAAAGAAATGATCAGTTTAACAATCGAATGGCAGGTGTATTGTAACACTGAGAGACAGAATAGCTACAAAAAATTCAAAAGAAATGCATGTCTAACAAATTATGCACTGATTTGCATGTCCATGAGGGAAATAAGTACTTGATCCCCTATCATTCAGCAGGATTTCTGGCTACCAGGTGTCTTTCATACAGGTAACAAGCTGAGATTAGAAGCAGTCTCTTAAAAGGGAGTTCTGCTAATTTCATTTTGTTACCTGTATAAAAGACACCTGTTCACAGGAGCAATCAAACAAACAGATTCCAAACTCTCCACCATGGCAAAGACCAAAGAGCTGTCCAAGGATGTCAGGGACAAGATTGTAGACCTACACAAGGCTGGACTGGGCTACCAAACTATCGGCAAGAAGCTTGGTGAGAAGGTGACAACAGTTGGTGCAATCATTTGCAAATGGAAGAAACACAAATCAACTGTCAGTCTCCCTAGGTCTGGTGCACCATGCAAGATCTCACCTCGTGGAGTGTCAATGATCATGAGAACAGTGAGGAATCATCCCAGAACTACACGTGAGGATCTTGTCAATGATCTCCAGACAGCTGGGACCACAGTCACCAAGAAAACAAATTGGTAACACACTACGCCGACAAGGATTGAAATCCTGCAGTGCCCGCAAGGTCCCTCTGCTCAAGAAAGCACATGTCCAGGCCCATCTGAAGTTTGCCACTGAACATCTGAATGATGCAGACGAGGACTGGTTGAAAGTTCTGTGGTCAGATGAGACCAAAATTGAGCTCTTTGGCATCAACTCAACTCGCCGTGTTTGGAGGAGGAGGAATGCTGCCTATGACCCCAAGAACACCATCCCAACTGTCAAACATGGTGGTGGAAACATTCTGCTTTGGGGGTTGTTGCTTTGGGGGACAGGAGAACTGCACTGCATTAAAGGGATGATGGACGGGGCAATGTACAGTCAAATCTTGGGTGAGAAACTTCTTCCCTCACCCAGGGCATTGAAAATGGGTCTTGAATGGGTGTTCCAGCATGACAATGACCCAAAACACATGGCCAAGGCAACAAAGGAGTGGCTCAAGAAGAAGCACATTAAGGACCTGGAGTGGCCTAGCCAGTCTCCAGACGTTAATCCGATTGAAAATCTGTGGAGGGAGCTGAAAGTTCGAGTTGCCAAATGTCAGCCAGCAAACCTTAATTACTTGGAGAGGATCTGCCAAGAGGAGTGGGCCAAAATCCCTCCTGAGATGTGTGCAAACCTGGTGGCCAACTACAGGAAACGCCTGACCTCTGATTGCCAACAAGGGATTGCCACCAAGTACTAAGTCATGTTTTGTGAAGGGGATCAAATACTTATTTCCCCCATGAATATGCAAATCCGTGTATCATTTGTTAGACATGCATTTCTTTTGAATTTTTTTGTGTTGCTATTCTGTTTCTCAGTGTTACAATACACCTACCATTCGATTTTGAGAGAGAGAGAGAGAGAGAGAGAGACAGACATATACACACACACACACACATATACACACGGTATGTCCGTGTGCTGATACAATAGGCACATTTTGTCTTAATCAAACAAGTTATCTACGGTCCTTCATTCCCAGCATAAGCCTTATTTTTCTTATCCTTTTTTTTTTTTTTTTTTTTTTGCGCACGCAATATAATTCCCTTTTTCACTCACTAGTATCAACAACTTATTCTTAAGGGAACCAAAATGGTGTAAATAATCTTCCACAACAACATTTCAAATCAGCCGAATTCATTTTAAAGAATCCCCAAAAATGCCCACTTCTATTTAGCTTAGTTGTCTTTTACAATATACCTAATCGTTTTGAATATGCATCAAGTTTATAAGCTGCATTTTCCAAAGCTGCCACTTGTTCTTCTATCTGATTTATTTGTTCAAGGTGTGGCTGAAGGCTTGCATCTGTAAAACAAGGTGAAACCGGTAAATTAATAACCAAAATATGGTCCTGTGTTTAAAAGCTAACTGTTGAGAACAAATAAAATAGGCAACTTAACATGATTTGTCATTATAACACAAAAGACAACACTACTTCATAAAGATGTGTAGTCACACGAATGGGAAGATACACACATACAGATCTCAACAAGTCTAGTATGATAACAGACAGATTATTTTCTTTTGGCCAAGATCAAGGGGAAAGGGGGGGGGGGGTCTAACCTTATGTAATTATGGGGGGGGGGGGGGATGGTGGGAGGGTCCCTTTTCCTCCTGGATTGAATCTGGCCTGAGTCCCACAGGCTTCTCCCCAAATGATTGCAGGTCTCTTTAAGCTCTATTGCCTTCCTGATTCAAAGCTGCATTTGTCTGGTCTTGGGCTGGGAAGTGCAAGGAGCTCCCAGGGATGTGCCCTCTAGGGGTGGGGTTCCAAAAAACACCTTTGAGTTGCACCACGCCTTTGGTGTTTGGTTGTCCCCTTTGCTTTTCTTGCACTACACCTCTGAATGTGGCCTTTTGGCTAGTCAGGGCAATTTTTATACTAGTCGATAGTACTGTTTTGCACAGCACTTTTTATGTTTGGTCTGTCACTTATTTATTCATGGGCATTATCACTGCATGTGTGTAGTTTTTTTTGCACAGAGACAGAGGATGAAGGTCATCAGGGATCTGCCCTGAAGTCCAGGGCAGGTTCTGCCTCCTTTGGGTCTTTTGCCTTTCCCCATCTGGAGGTTTCTCTCTTTTTAGGAGAGGGGTACACCGAAATTTCGGTGGCCGAAATGTTTTGGCTGAAATTACCGCTATTGGCCCGTTAGCCAATATGAAAATAAGCACCATCAAGGTGCCGAAAATAACCCCGCCCCCCTCACCGCAGCCCACCTGCCGCCACCGCTCAGTAGTTCTCAGCCTTACCTGAGAAACCACCAAACGATCCCGACACTGGGCATAAAGATAAGTGAAGGAAAGATGGCCTCCACTTATCTCTGCTTTGGAAGACCGGAACAATGTCACTTCTGGTGCCTTGTAAACAAGGCCAATTTTTTTTTTTTTTTTCTTTTTTGAAAGCACTAGATCAATACTTTTTTTTTTTTTTTTATCTAATGCTTTACATTTTACATATTGACCCCATATCTCTCCATAAAGAGGGCCTGTCACTAATTGTTTCTATCAAAAGGGATGCATTAAAAATAAATGAGAAAAATTTAAAGTGCCCCCCCCCCCCCCGATACTCGCACTTAGTGGGTAATGCATACGTAGACCACGCCCACATATAGTCAGGTCCATAAATATATTGGGACATCGACACAATTCTAACATTTTTGGCTCTATACACCACCACAATGGATTTGAAATGAAACGAACAAGATGTGCTTTAACTGCAGACTGTCAGTTTTAATTTGAGGGTATTTACATCCAAATCAGGTGAACGGTGTAGAAATTACAACAGTTTTGCATATGTGCCTCCCACTTGTTAAAGGGACCAAAAGTAATGGGACAATTGGCTTCTCAGCTGTTCCATGGCCAGGTGTGTGTTATTCCCTCATTATCCCAATTACAATGAGCAGATAAAAGTTCCAGAGTTCATTTCAAGTGTGCTATTTGCATTTGGAATCTGTTGCTGTCAACTCTCAAGATGAGATCCAAAGAGCTGTCACTATCAGTGAAGCAAGCCATCATTAGGCTGAATAAACAAAACAAACCCATCAGAGAGAGAGCAAAAACATTAGGCATGGCCAAAACAACTGTTTGGAACATTCTTAAAAAAAAGGAACGCACCGGTGAGCTCAGCAACACCAAAAGATCCGGAAGACCACGGAAAACAAATGTGGTGGATGACCGAAGAATTCTTTCCCTGCTGAAGAAAACACCCTTCACAACAGTTGGCCAGATCAAGAACACTCTCCAGGAGGTAGGTGTATGTGTGTGTCAAAGTCAACAATCAAGAGAAGACTTCACCAGAGTGAATACAGAGGGTTCACCACAAGATGTAAACCATTGGTGAGCCTCAAAAACAGGAAGGCCAGATTAGAGTTTGCCAAACGACATCTAAAAAAGCCTTCACAGTTCTGGAACAACATCCTATGGACAGATGAGACCAAGATCAACTTGTACCAGAGTGATGGGAAGAGAAGCGTATGGAGAAGGAAAGGAACTGCTCATGATCCTAAGCATACCACCTCATCAGTGAAGCATCGTGGTGGTGGTGTCATGGCGTGGGCATGTGTGGCTGGCAATGGAACAGGTTCTCTTGTATTTATTGATGATGTGACTGCTGACAAAAGCAGCAGGATGAATTCTGAAGTGTTTCGGGCAATATTATCTGCTCATATTCAGCCAAATGCATGCACATTCATCAGCGCCAGATTGAGGAGGGGTGGAGCCTGACTATGACGGCACGGGAGAGTGTGCAGTAAGCACTCTCCGTTAGCCTCCCCTCGTCTATCCTCCCCATGAGGCCCCGGTAGAGAAACCAGCTGCACCGAGGGTGTGCGGTGACTCACCCGGCTGGAGAGGGTTTGCGGTGTCCCGGAGACGGTCGGCTGCCTGGACCCGGGAGAGAGCCGGGAGAGGAACGCCTTGGGGTTTTCCTCTGACGTCCTGCGGCGGCGGCTTCGGAGGAGGAGTGGAGTTGCCGGGGAGACGGTCGGGCTGCCGGTCAGATTGCCTGGAGCCAGGAGAGAGCCGGATTAGGAGGAGGAGTGGGGTTGCCAGGGAGACGCCAGTGAGACGGACGAGGCAGTGGAGCGGCGCCGACACGTGGGCAGCCGCGGAGGAGTCCTGGGAGATCCGGGTGTGGGAGAGCTTGCCTGGCGTCCAAACAAGTAAGAGAAGTGGGGGAGGTAAACCAGCATACTGCCTCCACATCACACCATCTCCACCCCATCTTCCTGAGCCCTCTAATCTCCCTGCCTCCATACCATCCCTACACCATACCATCCCTACAGCCTTACACCACTGCTATAATACGGTTAACCCTCTAACTTCTATATCTCTCCCAATCTCTAACCTAACATTTACCAGCACATCACCTCCAAAATAAGGAGATATCTGATGGGAAGATAAGTGACTTGAGCTATATTAGACCCACAGGAATCCCCTTAAGAAGTTATGACAAAAGAGGACTGCTTCTGGAGTGATATTCCAACGTGAAGGGTGAGTGATGACCGTGGGTTTCCCTGCAGGTCTTCTTCTACACTCTTTATATATTGGATCTGTATATTGGAGCCTTATATACATTGATTCCTCGTATTAGACTTTCAGATGCCTGTAGTAAGACATTGCATTAAATATACAATCTGAAAATAAAAGAAATAGGGGATTCCTAGGGCGGGTCTGAAGATCGGGAGGAGTAAGAGTCCAGGAGAGCTGGAAATAAGAGTAAAAGGTTTAAAAACAACATGAAAGGTAAAAACACCAAAGGGAGTGGGCCTAAGAACTCCCAAACTGGTACGATTAAGAAGTATGTGTCACAGGGAAATGTTACCCCAGAAAGAACTCAGGGAATAAATGAAAAAAGTGAATTGGAAATAAGTCTGGATAATAGCCCGAGACTTTCCCTGGGCCCGGTATATAATAGTCAACAATTAATGGAAGGCACTGACCCGAGAGAGATCGTGAAAGAGATATGCAAATACCTAATAAAAAAAGAAATGGCGGAGATGTTTAAAGGCTTGGAAAAAAATCAATGAAGCATGAAATGGGGATGATTCGGGAAGAAATGGGACAATTGTTAACTAGGGTGGAGGAAATGGAGGAAAAAGTTCAAAACTTATACCCAAATTATCCCAAAATTAGAAAAATGGATACTAGAAGATAGAAAAGAACAAAAGAGATTGCTTTATATGATGGAAGAAAAAGAAAATAGAAATAATCTCAGAGTAAGAGGAGTCCCGGAACTGTCACAGGGGGAAGATTTAAAAGACTTAAAAGAGCTAACTGGCAAAATTTTGAACTCCATAATGGATAAAGCGGATGAGGAGATGTTTAAATTGGACGGAGTATACAGGATTGGGAAGTATCAACAAGAAAAAGGGATAGAAAAACCAAGAGATATAATTGTTAAATTCCATAACTACGGAGATAGAGAAGAGATATGGAAAAAGATAAAAGGAAAAACAAATATTACATATGGAGAGAAAAATATTCAAATTTTTGCAGATTTAACACCAGAGACTCTGAGAAGGAAGAGATCACTGAAACCCCTATTAGAAGTGATGAAAAAACATAGTGTGAAATACAGATGGGGCCGTGATACAAGTTTAATCGTGTGGAGCGATGGAATTACAGCTATCTTAAAATTTCCGGAAGATATGGAAGATTTCTGTGATAAACTTGGACTGCAGAGACAAGTGAAACCGGGTTGGGAAGTGGAAGAGGGAGAGTTGGACATGGGTAGGTCAGGAAAATGGCAGCTGGTTAAAAAGAGGAAAATAGAGAGACAATAGATAAGGGGACACTGGGGAGGAGGGGGGGGAAGGTGAGCAGTCATAGGCGGAGTCGAACCCCTATAGAGGGATCAAAGGTGGAACATGATCCAAAGGCAAAGGAGGCCTGGGAGGGGTAGGGTGGTGGGAGGATGGGGGGAGAGGGATGGGTTTTAGAGGCAATACTGTATGATAAAAAAAAAAAAAAAAAAAAAAAAAAAGGAAGAAAATAGGGAGATAAAAATAGATGGAAGATCTCCGATTTATATCATATAATGTAAAGGGATTGAACTGTCCTGGGAAGAGATTTAAATTATTCAAAGAGCTACAGCATAGAGAAGCTTCGGTAGTATTTTTGCAGGAGAGACACCTAGAGATTAAGTCAAATATAAAGTTGTACTCTAGAAATTACCCAACATGTTTTATGCGGATTCCCCAATCAAAAGAGCTAAGGGAGTAGCAATAGGGTTTGCAAAAAATATAAGGTTGGAGATAGAAGAGAGAGAGGTAATCCTGAGGGGAGATTTTTGTTCTTGAGGGGTAGAATACAAGAGCAGGAATGTACAATTGTGAATATCTACTGCCCAAAAAAAGACCAGAAGCTTATCTGAAGGGAGTCTTGGGAAAAATTGATGGCCTTTAAGAAGGGACGCTTGATAGTGGCAGGGGATTTGAATTTTTGTATGGACCCACAAATGGATACGACCTCTTCTGTGCAACGAGAGGGAGGTAGGGCTCTGAGAATCCTGAAGAGGGCGATACATGAGTGTCAACTGGTGGATATTTGGAGAGTGATTCATGGAAAAGAGAGAGATTATACCTTCTTCTCCAAAGCACATGAGATGTACTCCAGACTGGATTATATATTGGTAATATCATCAACTTATAGAATTGGTGGAGAAAGTAGAAATAGAGGTGATGTCCCTTTCAGATCATGCCCCTGTAACACTGAAAGTGAGGTGGAGTAGACGAGGGACAGCTGGGATAGGTTGGAAGTTGAACGAGGCTCTTCTCCTGGATCAGGAGGTGGATCAAAAAATCAGAGAAGAGATTGAAAGATTTTTTCAAGAGAATGAGACAGGGGAGGTGTCGGTGGCTACAGTGTGGGAATCCCATAAAGCCTATAAAAGAGGTATACTGATAAAAAAAAAAAAAAGAAAAGGGAAAGAAGAGAAAAAATTTACTGGGTTGCTAAAAGAAATATCTGACTTGGAGCAGATACATAAAAGTAAAAGATCAGAAGAGATAAGACAGAAGGTAATAAAAAAAGAAAGAAGAGCTAGAGTCACTGATGGAGGAGGAGAAGAGAAGAGTCTTTAATAAAGTTGCAAGTGAGAGGTATAGATGGGGAAATAAACCAGGAAAATATTTAATGAAAGTCTTGAGGAAAAAAAAAAATAGGCATTATATAGAGAAAATAAAAAACCTCAAGGGGGAAATGGTTTATTCTACTAAAGAGATTATTAAGGTGTTCAAAGAATATTATAGTAAACTATATAATATTGCCCCCCAAGACCCAGTAAATACAATTAGGAATGAGAAAGAGAGAAAAGGAGGGAATATTTAAAAAATGCAGGATTACCGAAGTTAAAAAAAAATGACCAACTGAATTCCCTTGATTTGGAAATAAACACAGGAAGAAAAAATAAGAGCATTAAAGAGTACTATGACGGGGAAAAGCCCGGGACCAGATGGTTAATACAGCAAGATACTATGAAAAAAAAATACAGTGACCTGTTAATACCTAAATTGAAGAAATATATGAATGCCCTGGGAGGAGAGATGGAGATGAGACGGGAATCTTTACAGGCCCATGTAGTACTGATACAAAAGGAAGGGAAGGATGTCTCTCAGTGCTCTAGTTATAGACCGATATCACTCTTGAACATTGACACTAAGTTATACGCAAAGGTCCTAGAAAACAGGATAAAGAATTTTATGCCAGAATGGATCCAGGGAGACCAGGTGGGATTTGTCCCAGGGAGGGAGGGTAGAGACAATGGGCTGAGAACTCTGTTGCTTATCCAAAAAGCTAGTAAGGGGAAAACTCCAGTAGTAGTACTTGCTATCGATGCTGAAAAGGCATTCGATAGAGTAGATTGGGGCTTTAATGATGGATACCCTGGAAACTCTAGGAATAGGAGTAAGAATGAGAGAATGGATAAGAAAATTGTATAGAGAGCCCTCAGCAGTGGTCATGGTTAATGGAGAGAGGTCGGAACCTATTGGGATGTCAAATGGAACTAGACAGGGATGCCCATTATCCCCATTGTTGTATGTTTTGACACTGGAACCTTTATTGGCAACTATTAGGAAGAATATAGATATAAAAGGAGTGCAGACAGGGGAAGTCGAACATAAAGTAGCTGCCTTTGCGGATGACCTGTTGTTTTATGTAGGAAATCCTAGGATAACACTCCCAAATCTAATGAAGAGTTTAAAGGATTATGGGGAGCTATCAAACCTGAAAATCAATCCAACAAAAACCGAGATCTTAAATGTAAACCTTTCAAATAGTGAAAAAAAGAAAAAATACAAAAAGAATTCCCCTTTATATATAGAAAAAATAGAGAGATAAAGTATTTGGGGGTTAAACTTTCTGCTTCATACACGAACCTGTATAAATTAAACTATATCCCACTCTTAAATGAGATCAAGGAGGAATTAAGAAGATTGGGAGGAGGCAATCCGTCTTGGATAGGTCGTATAAAACTTGATAAAAATTATAATTGTACCAAAAATCCTCTATAAATTTCAGATGATTCCAGTCAAAATCCCGGAGGTTTTTCTTTAAAGTAATAAAAAAGGATGTTAAAAAAATACATATGGAAAAAATAAAAAACCTAGAATATCATATGACTTGCTAAGTAGAGAAAAAAGGAGAAGGGAGGTTTGGGAGTACCAGATATTAAGAGGTATTATAGAGCAGCAGTCCTAGCGAGAATTTATGATTGGACACATAACCAAGAGGGGAAAAGGTGGGTTCAGATTGAGAATGAATTAAGTAGAGTTACCTTGAGTAGAGTTATATGGGCACCAGCACAATATAGAGGGTTAAAAGATACCACAAGTGTGTTTTTACAATTAAATGTTTTTAAGGTTTGGGATAAGTTGCATAAAATTCTGAAATGGGATTGTAATTCACAATTAATATCACTGAGGAACACGAAAAAAATTATTTTCCCCCAGGTAAGGAGGAGAGCACAGGAAAATGGTTTAAAAAAGAAGATATTCAACTGAGAGATATAATGGAAGGACAGGAATTGAGAACACTTAAGGATTTGAAAAAAGATAAAAAGGGAACTTTTTATTAAAATAGATGAATGGAAATATCACCAATTAGAACATTTTGTCAGAGACCTTCCAAAAACCGTTGAGATCGAGAAAGGATTGGAACCTGTTTGAGAGGTTGTTAGAAACACGAGGCGATGGGAGGCGAAGCACGGCAAAAATTTATAAGACCCTCACTGAGTTAGACACTTTCACAAAACCAATGTATATAATAAAATGGGAAAGAGATTTGGGAATAGAGATAGATGAAGACAGACAAAGGAAAATATATAAGATTAATAAACGAGAATATAAGTATGAGAGAGGTGGAGGTAAATTAAAGTGTTTAACGAGATGGCACATTACACCGAAGGTTGAGTATAAGATATGTGGGGAAAATTCACAAGTGTGCTGGAGGGGATGTGGAAAAATAGGCACGTCTTATCATATATGGTGGGAGTGCCCGAAGATCCAAGATTTTCTGGGAAAAAAAAATTGTCCAACTAATTGAGAATATCTCTGGGATAAAGTTAGGACTGGACCCAGATGTATGTCTACTACACAGTACAGAGTTATCGGTAAATAAATATAAGGACTCGGGTATGTGGAGCTATCTGAATGCGGCGAAGGGTTTGATACCTAAGTTTTGGTATAGACCAGAGGTGCCAAAGATAGAGGACTGGGTGGAAAGAACGAATCAAATTTGCAAGATGGAGAGACTGTGTTATATGCAAGAAAATAGGATGGGGTTGTTCTCTAGGAGGTGGAGAAAATGGGAAGAATTTATGCTGAAATATATGAAGTAGAAATGTGAGAAAGTTGAAAGGATTTACATACCCCATATTCTAGTTGGGAAAAAAGAGTTAATAGAATAATGCAGAGTAGGTGGGTTCATAGGGGGGGAGGGGGAGGTCTTCACTTAAGGGGGGAGGGGAAAATAGAGGGGGAGGTAAATGGGAATAAAGATAGTAAGAAATGTTATTAATGATATGGAAATGGTGTTTTTTTTTCTTTTTTTTGTATGAGAATGATGAAAAATGTATTATATATGGAAAATAAATAAAAATTTAAATAAAAAAAAAATATTCAGCCAAATGCTTCAGAACTCATTGGACGCCGCTTCACAGTGCACATGGACAATGACCCAAAGCATACTGCAAAAGCAACCAAAGAGTTTTTTTAAGGGAAAGAAGTGGAATGTTTTGCAATGGCCAAGTCAATCACCTGACCTGAATCCGATTGAGCATGCATTTCACTTGCTGAAGACAAAACTGAAGGGAAAAATGCCCCAAGAACAAGCAGGAACTGAAGACAGTTGCAGTAGAGGCCTGGCAGAGCATCACCAGGGATGAAAGCCAGCGTCTGCTGAGGTCTATGCGTTCCAGACTTCAGGCTGTAATTGACTGCAAAGGATTTGCAACCAAGTATTAAAAAGTGAAAGTTTGATTTATGATTATTATTCTGTCCCATTACTTTTGGTCCCTTAACAAGTGGGAGGCACATATGCAAACTGTTGTAATTCCTACACTGTTCACCTGATTTAGATGTAAATACCCTCAAATTAAAGCTGACAGTCTGCAGTTAAAGCACATCTTGTTTGTTTCATTTCAAATCCATTGTGGTGGTGTATAGAGCCAAACATGTTAGAATTGTGTCGATGTCCCAATCTTATCTTGTGGGTCACAGGAGTGCACTTACTTTTGCACTCCTGTTGACCCAGAGTCAGCTGACAGCGGGCTATTACCCACTATCAGCTGACATTGCTGAGCCGCTCCAGGCCCTGGAAGGATCCTGACAATATTGTTGGGATCCACTTAACTGTCTGATGGAGAGCTGGCCCTGCCTCTCAGTTGACAGCTGGAGCCAGCTGCACGCACCTTCCTCCCTAGCCCAGCACTCCAGTGAGACTCACTGTGGAGACTGAGATCTGAGTGGTAAGCAGTCATGTAAATGCTCAGTTCTTAGGCTTAGAGCTGTCGTGGGACAGCCGCAGCATCACACCAATGATGAATAATAAAGAAGAGTATGTGTGTTTGTCATTTTACAGACCCCAAACTTCTCTAAATATGAAAGAGTTACTTTTCCTAGAAAAAGAGCTTGGTTGGTCTGTTTTTACACTTACACTTACACTTTTTGTTCAAATCCTTGAGATTCCGGCTGATATTTGCAGCAATGTCTTTCATCTCCATATACTTCAGACATGTGAGCTTATTCATATTCTCAAGAAGTTTGTAGTCTTCACTGGTGGCTGAAAAGATGATTTGTATGTAATAAGTTAAGTCATGGCACCTTAAACACTGAATCGGATGTGCTGAATCATGGTGAAATTGAAAGTGACACTAAACAATATCCTTATTTTCCAAAAATAAGCCATACACATTCACGAATGAATGGCTCTGTAATCTATTTTTCATGAAATAATTTTTTTTAAATAATATAAATCAAGTTTTGTTTGACAAGTATTACAAACAAATGTCAAGGTGTCTGTCACCCTAACAATAAGATATGGAATAGAGTAAGCTTCCAGAATTACATTGCAAATACACATATCAAAAATACAGCGCATAGGATAATAAGTTCATTATTTGTATAGGCAGGATAATCAACCCTAGTCATCTGCATCAGATTCAAGAGGATCCCATTGACACCTCATCATAATATCACATATCAGTGAAATGAACAGATCCTAAGAAGGAAAGAGGAAAAGAAAGAGAGAAAAAAAAAAGGAAGCAAAAATGTACCAGAATAAATATAACCTATTAATTAATTGCATAAACGGATACCAGATGCAGGGTATGTGAATCATATTTTTTTTTTGCACGTTAGTCTCGTATTGAAAGCAAATAGATTACTTAAGTTACTAAAATTCTCGTAAGACATAATACAACTTTGGAAGTGATGTAATGTATTGCATTGTATTGTATTCTTTCATTTCTGAGCATGCGCAGTTCGTTTTTTACCCTGTTTTCATGCTTGTCCCTTTGGATATTTTTGCATGAACGGTCGTGATCAGTTCTTGAAAGCGGTGTACTAATGAGTAGATTTTTGGACGATCGCTCCAACTGCGGTTTTCTTTAGTCTGATTTTCTCATCGTGTATACTAGGATTAGACAACTTCGAAGGGGCAGATGTCTGTCTAAGACCTGGTGCTCTTAGACAGAGAATGTTTATATTATATATTTGTTTGAAAATTGTTTTTCAATTTAAATATTTTAAACGGTCTGTGGCAGGAGCATCTCCAAGGCAGCAAATACAATAATTAAATCTTGATCTGCCCTAAACCCTTAAGGGACTAGTATTTGCAGTTCCCTCCTGGACTTTTCATGTGGTAATTTTTTTGCAATACTTCCTAAAAAGAGCTCCAATTTTGCAAACAAAAGAAACTTCTCACCTCCCTCACCAAGGTGAAAACCCATATTTGCATGAAAATAGCCCCCCTTCAACTGAAAACAAATAAGAAATCAGAAGAACATTTTACAACACAAAAGTTCCATTAAAATACTTCAGAGTGAGCAACTTCCAGTCAGAAATGTTATGCACAAAAATAAAAAAACTAAATTTGGGATCTATGCTAAAAGAAAAAAAAAATTCAACTGACATGCAAAATTACAGCGTTAAAAAAGTATAGCATCCTTTTCATACATCAGAGACTTTGCCTGTCACAGGGGGCACCTTACATGACCGGACAACTTGTAAAAAAGGTGTTAGAGCTGAACATTGATTGTAGTGGTAGAGCCATGTAGGTTGCCCCTTGGGAGAGGAAATGGGGTGAAACTGAGCTGACAACCATTGGAAACGCTTGGTAGTATTTTGCAATGTATGTGATTGGGTGTTCAAACTTGGTGTAAAACTAAATATTCTACTGCTTGAAAACGGTCAATAAATGGCAGCCAAGGAAAAAAAAACAAAAAAACAAAAACATTGTGGACAATTGACAAGGAGTGGTGCATGCTGTATTCCTGCCTCAATCTTCTAAACTGAGGAAATTGAGCAGATGCTGCTTCTAAATAACAAAAGGGGTGTAAGCCATTTGCTCCCTGTTCTATGCTGTGTCTATGACAGCACACTTGAATCTGCATGCTTCAGATTCCTGGCTGCATCCCTGCTCTCTTCTCCTTCCCCACTCAGCTGAGTTCCAGAGATAAAAAAAGGGGTATTAACCCAGCAGGCTCTGCTCCTACAGTGTAATCCCTGAGCAGGCAGAGAGAAGGATGTGAGCTGTCTGCTGACATCCCGTAAGGCCAGGTTCAACCTGGCTGGGATCTGCGGCACTTTTCAATATTGAAAATTGACCCAATCCCTCTGTAAGTTAAATGCAGAACTGGCACCAGTTTCTCTTTCACTCTGAAAGAGAAACTGCCATGTGAAACAGATCTAGCTGTTCAGTTAACACAGCTTACCCAAGTTTACGTATAATAGCACAGAAAGCGAAGTTAATTCACCACATCGTATTTAGGTGGCAATTCAATACAGCACAAAAGAAAATGAGCAGATGTTTTATTATCTGTATTCTCTGTGAAATAATCTATCAACCATACATATACAGTAATATACATTCCTAGGATATACCCAACATACTCTGGTGTTTACCTAAATGAAGAGCTAAATGGGCAAAATAAAATTGGCATGTTGTACTTACCTACCAATTCACCGGTTAGATAACATGACATTTTACTGAACATGTCTTTGCAGAGCTCATTGATATCAGCTTCTGGTGGCTCAACTGCCTCTTCTGCAGTCTCAACCGTAGAATCATCTGCAGAGAGTAATATATAAACAAGGTTTAAAGAAATATGAATTTAATTTCTATAACATTTGGTTATGTGTTTCATCTACATTAAAATAAATAAATTGACTTTGTAAAACTCTGCATAAATATATTTCACCTGGTTTAGCTCTGCTGAGGATTAAAGAAAAATGATATGTTAATATTAAAAAAAAACCATTAAAACAGTACCTGATCATGTAACTGAATTTGTGTGGCTCTCCTGAAATTCCCTGCACAGCAACACTCAGCACCAATCAGAGCTCTGTGGATTTGTAAAGTACGGTCAGTCTAATACCGTGACAAGGAGGCGATGGCAGAGAGATAACCTCCTCAGTATTCTGCAGCTTCTTCACTGTTTATTCACACTCTGTGATAGGTCCTGGACCAGGCTCTATTGCTTAACTGAGATGCTGTAGGAAGGTCCAGGACCTGGCAATAATATCTGGAATGGGAGTCTAGTTCACAAGTCTGCCCAACATAGATACAAATCCTTTGGCAAGCAAACATACTGTAAGAATTTCAAACGTAAATTTATAAGCAAATAGTAAAGAGGTAATATGCGAGCGCTATCTAAAACTATATAAAAGATAGCTGCTAGAACACCAACAAAGGCAACCAAGAACGAACCTTCCAACAGAATACATATACATATAAAGCTGCAGTGCTAAAATAGCATAAATAAGGACAACACAATATAGCATAAAATAAAGTGCAGAGTATCGGATCACACTGAGGTGAACTTGAGTGAGTAAAAAGTCCCAAGATAAATGAGGGCCCACGTGGGGATCCAGCAGATCCTAATGAGTGCGTGGGGCAGGGTTCCAGTGTACCACACAGTGGATCTAGGGTAAAAAAGTGCGCACTCACCAGAAGTACATCAAAAATACGCATGTGAAATTATCCTGTTTCATCAGGTAGCGGTCATCTGCTGCCAAGGGAAGGTCAGGATCATACACCCTCCAATCACAACTCAGGGTAGGTACTCCAAGAGTCTCAAACGTGTCACCATCTGGGGTCCCTTTGAACAGGTTCTGCAAGTGGGGACTCTCAATGAAGAGAGCCCAATAAGGGACACCACATAGCGTGATACCGTAGACATTAAGTTTATTGTATCAAAGGGTAACACAACAATAAATGGTGAAGATAAAAATGAAGGTTAACACTGACCAGATACCGTTCAGGATGGCCACCAGCGGTGGTCAGCCGTCCGGATACTGTAGCCCCCCTAAAATTTATAAGCGTGCCTGTAAATATACAGTTCATAAAGCATGTAAGCAAGTTATACTTACCTAATCTAGAGCTGTTGGCACAGAGAAAGCACTCCCAGGTAATGGAAATGTCAGTTACTTTCTGCAGTGTACTTACCTTGGATGCCTTAACAGCCCAGGTAGTAAGAACTTGGGTCAGGGGAGTTTCACCCTGCCTGTACCGGTCTCCTAAGCTTCCTTACAGGCCCATTACTGATAGTCAGCCTTACTGACCAATAGTGAGGCTTAGGAGACAAAGAAAAATAAGCAGTCTACAGACATAATAGACCCAAAAAAAGAGTTTTTCAAAGCAATCAGGCATTCCTGACACCTGAGGTATCTACACTGAGGAAGGACCTGGTGTGCAGGTATCTGTTTTATGATGATGGTGCTGGATAAGGGAAATCCTATAAACTGTAACACACATTGGAAGGCTTTTATCAAAACTAGAGCAAACAGAATGTGGAGCAGCTGTGCATGGCAACCAATCAGCTTCTATCTTCAGCTTGTTTAGTTAAGCTTTGAAAATGGAAGACAGAAGCTGACTGGTTGCCATGCACAGCTGCTCCGCATTCTGGCTGCTCCAGTTTTTATAAACCCCCCCATTGTGTGTCTCAAAATGTAACAATGGGGTAGTACTGTGATAACTTATATCAGATAACATTTAAAAAGCTAATGTTACTTTATATTATTGCTGAATCAAGAGGGAAGAGAATCTGTCACTTTACCCGTTCAGGGAAAAGTAGCAGTCTTTTGAGAGCCCAATTTCAACCCACTTTACCCAGCTTCTGCATGCTCCCTGTCACTCCATTGGAGTCAAGATCAGGCCCTGTGTAGGCATTGTTTACACAGGGTTGATGATGTCATCCTCCTCCAATTATGACATCATTTGGGTTTAAACATTAGTGCTCAGAAGCGCTGGGATGATTATCAGGGGCTGCGAAGTAGCAAGTACTGCACAGTAGAGGGGGAATCATGGGTAGGCTAACAGGAGAATCTTTCACTATGTTCTGAATTGGTAAAATGACAGATTCTCTTTAAATACCATAGCATAACAAAACACAAGGGTTACTAATAAAATATTCACCCTGAGATGTAGGTGCCTGAGATGCTGCAGAAGCTACAGTTGGCTCTTCAGAAGGCAGTTTTTCTGCACCTTCCAGAGCTGCCATACCAAAGGTAACTTGTCACAGCCTTCGAGTTGTTGTATAATATAGCTAAATGGAAAAAAGAAATACCTGTTGCAAATAAAGAAAGAGAAACGATTTACAAATGAATACTCAAAAAGCTACGAAGATATGCAAGTGTTGCAATTAATTTTTTTCAGTATCAATTTGTATTATCCAACATTTACAGGATGACATGGTAGACATGAAAATATACAGTGAGTCAATACATGACATTATGAAAATACACAACCCCTAGACAGTCTAGGAAGTTTATGAGCAATATCAGCAGGCTCCGCCCAACGGGATCTCTAGTGGTCCACGGCACGGGGTTTCCCAGGACGCGGAGTCTAAGTCCCAGTCTGCCTTTTCACCAGGGCCCCTGATGGTGGGGATGGACTTGGTGCAAGACTGAAACCAGGTCGCGTCCCTGGGCACCCCCGGCGGTGGCAGAGGGGTCCCGCTGAGGGTATGTGCCCGGGTAGAGCCTGCTGTGAAGGGGATGACAGATCCCGATCCGAGCGGGATGGATGGGATGACAGATCCCGATCCGAGCGGGATGGATGGGCAGCTATCAGGAGTAGGCGAGGTCAGACTAGCCGGGTCGGTATTGTGCGGGCAGCGTGGTACGGGGGGAGTAAGCGGAGAATGGTCGGGGTCACAAGCCAGGTTCAGCAGGTAGCGGGCAGCAGGCGGTGCAGGAGGTCAGGCAGAAGGATGGTCAGGGACGAGCCGGGGTCAGAGCAGGAGAAGGTCAGCATAAACAGGACAGGCAGAGTTTGGCAACAAGGAGCGTACTTACAGGAACAGGAACGAGACCTTGCGGCAATTTGGAGATGCACAGGCAGCTTTAAATAGGGCGCCCTGCTCTCCCATTGGTGCGGCCGCGATCGCTACTGCGCATGCGCGGCCGCCGCGATCGCCGAGGATTCTGCGCTCGCCGGCTGGGACGGATCGGCGGTCTGCGCATGCGCGCGCCGCCGAGGACCCGGGATCCCTGACATTGCCCCCCCCCCCTACGGGCAACCTCCGGATGCCCAACCGACCCCTACTCAACGGCTGGTTCCGAAAAAATTCCCGCACAAGCCTTGGGGCGTGCACATTTTGGGCCGGCTCCCATGAATTTTCCTCCGCCCCATATCCTTTCCATTTAACCAGAAACTGAGTTTGGCCTCCCCTCTTCCTGCAATCTAAGATAGCTTCAACTTCAAATTCCTCCTCCCCATCCACGTCTACTGCCTCCGGTGGCTTAGACCTTCGATCCGGGAAGGGGTCTGGAGTTGCCGGTTTCAACAGGGACACATGGAAGACCGGATGAACCTTCATAGATTCGGGCAGTGCCAGCTCGTATGCCACCTCGTTGACCTTACGTTTGACCCGGAAAGGCCCCAAGAACTTGGGAGCCAATTTCTTTGAAGGGCAGGACATTTTTAAATTTGCGGTGGACAACCAAACCTGGTCCTCTGGCCGCAAACTCAATTCCCCTCTTCTCTTCCTATCAAACGCCCTCTTGTTGTCATCCTGGGCCTTTGCCATTGCTTCCTGCAATACCTTGCTATTGGTTGACAGAAAGGTCAACATATCCTGCGTGGCTGGGACTGCAACCTCTGGGATTAGATCTGGCAGGAATACAGGGTGGAACCCATAGTTTGCGAAAAACGGGGACTGTCTAGTAGCAGAGTGACTTGCATTATTATATGCGAATTCCGCAAGCGGCAGGAGAGTAACCCAGTCATCTTGGAGGAAGGTGGTATAGCACCTGAGGTACTGCTCTAGGGTCTGGTTTGTACGCTCCGTCTGGCCATTGGTCTGTGGGTGATAAGCAGAAGAGAACGATAACTTAATCCCCAGGGTTTCACATAGAGCTTTCCAGAACCTGGACGTAAACTGAACCCCTCTGTCAGATACAATGTCCCTGGGAATTCCGTGGAGTCTTACTACTTCCTTAATAAACACACGTGCTGTTTCAAGGGCCGTAGGTGTGTCCTTTAAGGGTACAAAATGGGCCATCTTGGACAGGCGGTCCACAATCACGAAGATTGCTGTGTGGTCCTGAGAAGGTGGAAGTTCCACGATAAAGTCAATGGAAATCATGGTCCATGGCCTGTCGGGAATGGGTAATGGGCGCAAGAGACCCCAAGCTTTATTCCTAGTGGGTTTGTTTCTCTGACACACGGGACAGGTCTTAATGTAGGTTTCGCACTCCCTGGCCATATTAGGCCACCAGAAAGTACGCTGCAGCAGCTCCAAGGTCTTACGTACCCCGAAGTGCCCGGCCAGCGGGTGATCGTGGCAGTATCCTAATACCAATGTACGGGCCTCCTCAGGGACCACAATCTGATCCTCCTTCCAAAAAAGTCCTTCCCTATTTAGTAAGGGAACCCCAGGTGGACCTTGCATTCCTACGGACGCGGTCTGCAGTTGAGAATGGAGCTCCGATTGGAGAACTAAGAAATTTCCTGGGGACAGGATAGTGTCTGGCTTGGGGTTCTCTTCGGGATCCCCAAACATGCGGGAGAGCGCGTCTGGTTTTGTGTTCTTAGACCCTGGCCTATAGGTTATATGGAAAAAGAACCGTGAAAAGAACAGCGCCCACCTGGCTTGACGTGGCCTCAGACGTTTAGCTGTCCTCAGATACTCTAGGTTCTTATGATCCGTAAAAATCAATATTGGGTGTACCGCCCCTTCTAACAAGTATCTCCATTCCTCTAGTGCCACCTTAATCGCCAAGAGCTCCCGATCCCCGATATCATAATTCCTTTCCGCAGGAGTCAGTTTCCTGGAGAAGAAAGCCACTGGGTGCATGAGTTCTTTGATGCCCTTCCTCTGGGACAGGATCGCCCCGACCGCATTCTCGGATGCGTCCACCTCCAAGATATATGGCAAGGACGAATCAGGGTGGCTCAGAATAGGAGCCGCCGTAAACAATTCCTTCAAGGCTTCGAAAGCCCTCTGTGCCTCGGGTGTCCATTGGAAGCGAAACCCCCTGCCTGGTCAGCTGGGTGATTGGGGACACTAGGCCCGAAAAGTTCTTAATGAACTTTCTGTAGAAATTCGCGAAGCCGATGAAGCGTTGGACCGCTTTCTTATCGGCGGGGGCTGGCCAATCTAAAATGGCCGAAACCTTTTGAGGATCCATGGCTATTCCCGTGGGAGAGATGGTTAGACCCAGAAACGAAATGCTACTCTGTTCAAAGCAGCACTTGTCTGCCTTGGCATATAAGCTGTGTTGGCGGAGCCGTTCTAACACGCGCCTCACGTGACCTCTATGGTCCTCCAAGGTTGGGGAAAAGACAAGGATATCGTCCAGGTATACAATGACGAAGATATCTAGGTAGTCCCTGAACACATCGTTTATGAAATGTTGGAAGGTGGCAGGGGCGTTGCATAGGCCGAAGGGCATAACCAAGTATTCAAAGTGTCCGAATCTGGTACGGAATGCTGTCTTCCACTCGTCCCCCTCTCTGATACGAACTAAATTATAGGCACCTCTCAAGTCTAGTTTAGTGAAGACAGATGCTGACTTCAGCCTCTGAAACAGCTCGGGGACGAGTGGTAGCGGGTAACGTTTTTTTACTGTGACCTTATTCAAGTCCCGGTAATCTACGCAGGGCCGGAGGGACTTGTCTTTTTTCTCCACAAAGAAAATGCCCCCCCGGCTGGTGACGTGGAGGGTCTAATAAACCCCTTATGGAGGTTTTCATCTATATACTCCTTTAGTACCCCTAACTCCCGCTCGGATAAGGGGAATATCCGCCCAAATGGGATTTCCGACCCCGGGAGGAGATCAATTGGGCAGTCATAAGCTCGGTGCGGAGGGAGAATGTCCGCCCCCCGCTTGCTAAACACGTCCAGAAAATTATGGTAAACTGACGGAATGACTTGCGCCAGCTCTGCATCTGTCTCTAGACACAACAAAGTCGGTGGAATCGGGGAGATCTTAGGGAGGCAATGCTGCTGGCAGTATGGGGAGAGGAACTGCATAGAACCCGCCTTCCAGTCCACCTGGGGATTATGGGCTCGTAACCACGGGAGCCCCAAAATAATTGGAAATAGTGGGGATGCTATGGCGTCCAACCGAAGGAGTTCTTCATGATGGGTCGATATGGTAGTACGGATAGGTGGGGTCTCGTGGTCCACCACCCCTGACTTAATACGTGAACCATCTGCTAGAAAAAATATTCAATCCCACCTCCTTGGTTTGTAGGGGAATTTGTTGCTGAACTGCAAAGTCTAAATCTATGAAGCAACTACACGCCCCAGAATCCACAATAGCCGTGGTCACCACTGTTCTCCCCGGCAGCTGAAGTGACACAGGTACCGCCAGATAGCTAGTATTGCCCACACTGTTAGAAGTGACTGTAGAGAAAACAGCGGAACACTTACCCCTCTTGGCTGGACAGGTACGTACCACATGGCCTGCTCCCCCACAGTAGAGGCAGAGATGGTTGGCAAGACGCCTCTGGCGTTCCTCAGGCGTAAGTGTCGGTCGGATCCTTCCCGATGGCCCGGTCTCGGGTGAATCCATGGCAACCTGATTCTGGCCTGCCGGCTGTAACTGGGTAGAGGCCTGAGGGGGTGTTCCAGTTGATCCTTGTCCTTGGTTGCATCTTCCCTGCCTGTGTTCCCGTAACCGGCGGTCAATTCGAATAGTCAAAGCTATCAAGGCCTCCAAAGTGCTAGGTATGTCTATTCGGGCCAATTCGTCCTTCAGGGGTTCAGCTAACCCTACGCGGAACTGGTGGTGCAGAGCCGCCTCGTTCCCATTGGCAGTCACTATGCCAACGCCTGAATTCGGCGGCATAGTCCTCCACTGTCCGGTGACCCTGCCTGAGTGTATATAGGGCCTTCTCGGCCGTTGCGGTGCGCAGCGGGTCGTCATACAAGAGGGCCATAGCCTCAAAAAATACCGTCACTGACTGCAATAGTGGGTCTCGCTTCTCTCGGAGACGGTGGGCCCAGTCTTGGGGTCCCCCCTGTAGTAGGGAAATAATGAACCCTACCCT